ACCATGGGAAGTTACCTTCCCGATGTTCTCCTATAAAACAAGGTGTAGGACTAGGCAACCTGTGGCCTACATATTTATTGATAAAAACGGAAAGTCTCATTATAAAACAAGGATCAGTTTTCCTGTGCCCTATAAAAGTCACCTTTCGTATCAGCATGCATTGGGCTGCAAGTAACATTAAGCTCAAGGACAGTCTCTTAAACTTGAAGGACAGTTGTTATTTCTACCTGCAGGTCCCCAGGTAGAAAGAGTGGTTTCATGGTGGGGTCTCAGTGATGTCCTCAGGCTGCCAGGTCCCTCCCACTTTTCTGCTCTGCCAGCTTCAGCAGGCTGGTGTGTTCTCTTAGGCTGACCCTCTGGGGGTCAACATTCAATACACAAAGATAGAAAAAAGCTGTTGCTCTTTTCCTTTTTTTTTTTTTAAGAACACAGAAATGTTTCCCAGAAGCCTCCAGCAGAATTTACTGGGTATCTCTTCAGCCTGAAAAATATCCTGTATCTGTTTCTGAATCAATTGCTGACAAGATGTTAGAATTATTATTTCATCCACCTTAGACAAGTCAATATTTAGCCTACAGGTCCCATAAGGGGTCAGACTTCCCCCCAAACACAGGACCTACTGAAACCTGAACAAATCTGGGGCCTTGTGAAGAAAGAGGAAGGCAGGAAGATATGTTAGAAAGAGACAGATTGTTTTATTTATTTTCTAGAGTGGCCTACTGTTCCACTGTCCTCCACATGGTCCATCTGGCCACACCCAGCTAGGCCATCCAAAGCCCTGTACAAAATCCCATGAGAGAACAGGCAGGGAGAATGGGGACAGAACCTGCTTTATGCGAGGTCAAATAGTGACACTGAGTTCGGATTGGAAGCTGGGGTAAAAGAAGTGCTATGTGGGAAAGGGAAGTTTTGAAAACACTCATTCAGTGAAATTTTCTCAAAACCCTTTGCAGGACTGTTTCCGGACATGCCCGTGTTGCTATCGCATTTCCTGGTCCTTAGGTCTGGGGTCCCTCCCTGAGATAGGGACCAATCACTGGGAGTGGCTGGTCTGGCTGGGGTTGGAGCTGGGTCACACGCTGGCAGCTATGCTGGGAACAGATGAGGGGAGCAGTGGAGGCAGCAGGGAGCCCTGTTGGGAGATGGGTGCTGTGGATCAGCTCTATTACTAGGATGGTGGCCTTGGAGGTGGTTCCTGAAGAGTGGGTGGCCAGAGTGAATTCTCAGTGAAAGGAACAGGTGGGAATGTCTGGGAAAGAGCAAGTGGGATGCTGGCTGGAGCCTAGTGGTGCAGAGAGGCAGCTATGGGAGGTGAGGCTGGGAGCGGGTAGGCCTGGGGTTTAGGGAGGGTCTCCAGTGTGGTGCAGAGTTGCTTTCTGCTGCAGACAACAGGAAGCCTCCTCACTGGGATGCAGCTTAGCTTCAAGGGAATGAGCTTGTAGTATGGGGCAGAATGGAAGCAGGAGGTAAAAGCACCTTGGGATCCCTGGCTGGCTACTGGGGGCTGAGAGCAGAGCCCAGAGTTAAGCTCTAAGAGGCTGTGGTTCTCACACTCCATCTCGTGGTGGCTGAGCACCTCTGTGCCTGCAAAACCATAGCCGGGCTCTACTCTGTGTGAGAAGCCGCTCCAGATAGTGCTCTATACCTGGGCTGAAATCCACCCTGATTCTGGCTTCCCAGTCCCTTCCCTACTTTGGGAGGGGCTGACAGCTGATCCCTGGGCCCCTCAGATTGTGGTTTCAGTACCCAATTTACCCTTCTAGGCCGAGCTGGAAATCTGAATCTCAACACTCAAAGAGTGGGTGTGGGCTGATAGGAGGGGCACAGGGAGCTCCACCAGGAACTCTTCTAAGGAACGCCAAGGAGTGAGGACCACTCCATTGCAAATGCAGGTCACTTTTAGTCTCAGCCAGGGGAAGGGAACACCAGAGAGAGAGCAGGGGCAGGGGATGCCCGGCAGCCAGCTCATGAAGGGCCTCTCCCCCCACCCCCCACCCTGCGTGTCTACCTGATTTTTAAAATTTTATTCACTGCTCGGGTTGGTTTGAGAAGCACTAGCTTCACTGCTTTTCCTGCCTAGGCAGTTCTGAGCTATTAGCTCAGTTTGCTCACCCATTTGATGGGGTACCTAACAGGGAAGCCCCCAAGCTTCATGCTAATACCTACTGTCACTACCACGACACACAAATGATGATAGATACTTCCAAAGTGCCTTTCTAAGATGATAATCAAATGTAGTCTCCTCTGGGGGAGGCATAGGTTGTATTCCAGCTTGGATGTTGATAACTGTGTGTTGGGCAAACGAGTCATGTACTCCTTCTTGGGCTCTATAGAACATACACTCATGGCATTTCTGTTTATTCCTATTATTGACAATTCATATGAGCACTGAAATACAAGCCCTGAATCTCCCGAATGTTCCAATGTGGTCCTGGGAATGGTACATCCCCAATCTAATCCTTGCTTTATCTTTCATAAAGCATGCCCCTATCCGCATTGCTTTTTATGAGGCACATTTTCCCGCAGTTATCTTGTTATGTCAACCCCCACCAAGGAGTCAGCACTTCCCAGGAATTGGATGAGTACCGAAACCTGAGTTCTCTAGAAAGGTGTGTGTGTTTGAGTCAGGGGAGAATTTCTTAGGGTGTCTAGAACTTTGGGCTGCCTATAGAGGATCCCTGGACCCACATTGACTCAGAGGTAGGGGACCCTTTCTGCTGGCCATTGTGTCCTACAAAGAAAGGTGAAAGAGAGAATAGGAATATGAATATGAATATGAATGAATATGTGTGCCTGTGTGTGTGGTCTGTCTGTCTGTCCAAATGTCAAGCTATCCCCAACTTGAGGCTGGAACTGAGTGGTCAGGGTCAAGTTTATTCCACAGTTGAGGAAATGACTGTACAGAGTCCGGAACCCAAGGTTTCCAAAGAGCCTCAGCTGGGAGTCAGGAGTTGCCCTGCCTCTAACTGGCACCCCAGCGCCAAGATACTTTGAAATAACTCTCCTTGAATGCCCTTATCACAGTCACCAGTACAGCTGGAAACCTGAGGTGAAATGCATTCAAAGGGCCAGAATTCCAAGACTCAGGGAAAAGTTGACATGCAGCCCTGCCCTCTTGCAACTCAGCCTTCTTTCTGCAGCCAGAGCCACAAGGTAGCGCTGTGATGCTGGTTAGGGTTCCTACCCAGAAAGGGAGGCTGCTGGAAGTTATTTTGGGGTCTCTCTGCTCTCAATAACAAAACATTCTTTCATTTTTTCTGTTTTTTTTTTTTTTTGTTTTGTTTTTTTTTGCCCAGGGCTTATGTATCACTTGAGGAGATACTGAAAGATAGTTCCCGGTCTAGTAGGTTGAGGGTGGGACCTGAGATTCTGCTCTTCTAGTAAGCTCCCAAGGGATGCTCAGTAAGCTGGGCCCCAGTCTCAACAAACAACAGGGAGAGCTCCTGGCTCTTGAAGAAGTACATCCTGAATTTAAATGACCACAGCAAGAGGAGTTAAAGAACAGAGGGTGAAAGGGACTTGTGCCTAATTTTATTTGTGGTGAAACTGCAGCCTACCCAGTCCAGGAGGGAACTGCACTCAAAATCTCATGGCAATACAGCAACAAAGTCAAGACTCAGGCCTCTGTGTAGGGAAAACACAAAAACAGGCAAAATTCAGAGAAGATACTGAAGTGTCACCTGTGCTTTCTCTGGACAAACTATGGGTTCCTTTACCTACTCCCTCCCGTTTATTTTCCTCCTCCTGTTGCTCCCTTTCTCTTATTTTATTAAAAAACAACAACAACAACAACAATGAACACATCCTGGTTTTATGATAAGAAAAAATAATTTTAATAAAAGAAAATTCTCACGGAGTTCTTAGTAAATGAGATCATGTTTATGAATGGGCTTGGTAAACTGTAACCGCATAAGGCAACTTCATGTCCTCGGTGTGGAGTTCAAGCTCCAGCTGTCCAAAAATTACTTCAAAGAGGTTCTCTTTACTATTCTGGGAACACGAGTCCCCGCCTTGAAGAGGATCACCGCCGCTTCCAACTCGATCCACCTGGAGCCGCTTCCTGCTCCCCCCTTCACCTCGGCGGTAGGGACACTTTCCCCAAAGCGCAGGCCTCGGGGATCTTCCTCTTTAAATCGGGGAAGAAGGCTCCCTAATCCGTTTCGTACTAAACGACCTCGGGCCAACTCTGCTTTTGTTGCTGGTTTCCTACGCATAATTGCAAAGCAAAGTTAATTTGAAAGAAAAAATGTTACAGCTCAGGGGCGAATTCTAACGAGCCTTGGGCAATTAGGGAAGAACGCATCTAATTACCCACAGCCCCCGGGGCGCCTGCACAGGTGCTGGAGTTCAAGGCCCGAAGAGGAACGAACTGGCTTTCTGAACTCCAAATAGGAAGGAAGTAAAGAGAGAAAGAAACGCACCTCCAGTCTCTGAGCTCCCCAGATGAGGGTGTCAGAAGTTCCCTTCTCCGGTTTGGGGATTCCTAGAGTTAGAACGTCCCAAGGTGCTGCTGCTGCGGTGCGATGGTCTCAAGATCCTAGGGTCACACGGGCTGCAGTCCGGGGGGAGCACAGTCCCTGCGCGGCGCCCATTCATGCTCCGCCCGGGTGGCGTGCGAGGTCTGGGTGTCGCCTGCCGGCAGGAGACCGAAAAGAGCTGTCTCTCTTCGTGCATCTCCTAGCCCCTTGGCTGCACGCAGTCAGTCCTCTCTCTCCTGGGGCTGATTTTTGCTGTTGGTATAATCTCTCATCTGTCGCCCAAACCAACAAGGAGTTGGCGGGAGGGGGCGGCGAAGACGTCCAAGCGGTTTCCAGTTCCATCTTTTCCCGGGCCTCTATCGCGACGCTCCAGGAGTTTTGTGTCGCGGCGACACACAGACATATATATGTGTATATATGTGTATATATGTGTATATATATATATATATATATATATATATATATATGTATATATATATGTATATATGTATATGTATGTGTGTGTGTGTATACACACACACACATACATATATACATACACGACTTTCCGCACGTCTATGTCCGTTCCTTTGCAAAGCGTTTCTCACCCACTTATCTCGTTTAACTTCAGGAGGTCCCTCTGAGGTAGCAGACGCAAATTCCCATTTGAGGACGCTAGAGAAGGGACTGGCTTAAGGTTAATGGCATTGTCAAAGCACTGGACTTGGTAATCAAAAAACAAACACAGAAACAGAGACATTCAATTCCCTGCTAACTAAGTGCAAAAACTGCTCTTTCCAGCTCTGGTGTGGAGGCTCTCCCCAGCCAAGGATAGAACTCCAAGTGGAAGACTCTCAATTTCTGCTTCTGCCATCCTCACCTCTCTGTCTGGGAGAGCCAGTAGAACTGCACCCATAGAATCCTTGCATCTCATACATGGAAAGGTTCACAAGAAGAGGAGGGAGGCCCCAAACCTGGAGATTCCATGGTCACAGGGCTGGGTGGGTGCTCCAGCTGCCACCTGCCTTCAAGTGGTCATTTACTAAAACCAAAGCCAGGAAGAAACAACACTTAGGCCTGCAAAGACTGTCCACAGCAGTAGCTATCAGCCACATGGGGATAATTCAAAGTTAGACAAGTTGTCAGTGGAAAATATATCCCAATTTTTGAAGACATAGCATGACAAAAGAGTAAAGCATATATTGAGTACATGTTGAAATGATATTTTGGGTATATTGGGTTGAATACAATATATTATTAAAATTATTCTCACCTGTTTCTTTTATTAATACGGCTACTAGGAAATTTAAAATTACATCTATGACTTGCATTTTATTTCTATTGGATACCACTGATTTAGACAAATTCCTGTCTAGACTGAACCATGTTCTTTGTGAACAGAATTGTGCAGTCCCCCAAATAAAAAGAAATTATTAATAGTGTTCATACAACCTTCTTCATGGCCCCACCCTTTCCTACCAAGCTAACTCTGCAGAAAGAGGCCTAGTTTCTCTTGCCAGAACTAGTGCTAGTGCTCAAAGTTTTGCTTCTTTCTTTCTTTCTTTCAATTAAAAACAGTCCATCTTACCACTTAGTTTTATCTGAAAGCTTTGAGTGGCACCTCTGACATATTTAATGTTGAAAGTCCTCCCCCACAAATAAAAATTTATAAGATGAGATAAAAGTGGGAGTGTTGCCAGATTTCCTCTGATTTTGGTGAGCCTGTTGCTTACAAACAAAACAAAACAAAAACAAGACATCAAAGTTAAAAATCCAGTTTCTTTCAAAGCTCACTTCGTTGACCATCCAATTTAAATGTTCTTTTTGCTTTCTGCATGGGAGGGCTGCTGAGGCATAGCAGAGGGTGCCAGGAATGGAAGATCTAACCCCAACTATTGAAAGCCATCACCAACCAACTACCCTGAGAGTCCTCTCATCTCTTTGAACATTTTAGCATACCCATTGGGTCCAGGGCTGCTTTATGAAAAGAAGCCATGGATAATGGGCAAATGTATTTCTACTTGCCTCACTGGAAAATCAGATTTATGGTAGGGCAGTAATAGCTGTGGGATGACCAGAACATCCCGCTCAAAAGATTCAACGAATTGTGATATAATTGCTTCTTGGAGCTAGTCCTGGGACTTTAGGTGCTTGCTATGATTTGTATCAATTCCTTGAGTGATGGTTAGACTTTGGATTGCTACTCTGAGGCCCTGGGTGGCCCACCAATGCTGCCAAATATGCAGGGTGGCATCCAAGTTGATGGTGTTCTTAAGTCTAATATGGGGGAGGGGAGTGGACTGGGAGAGCCCTGTTGTGTAACAGGGAGACTAAAGGTTTGAAGGTCTGGAATGGAACTGGGTCTCACTGGAGAGCTAAGTGTGGTCTGAAGTTCTCAGAGGCAGGGAAAACCAGCTGGATCAACCAGAGCAGATTTCTTCTATTTAAAAACAAATCTAAAAACAACTACTTTTTTTTTTTTTTCAAACTTGTCCTTACTTTCAGAAGAAAAGCGCTGTCCTGGCCTTTTATTGCAGTAATGTAGTCAAAGGTACAAAAGGCCGAACCATGTGAAAAAGCCTGTTTTGTGCAGCACAGGAAAGGGTGAAGCTATATGACTCCTGATCCTGGTGTAGACACTGCGCTGTCTCCAACTCCATCCTATATTGCCATGGACCCTCCCTGATAGAAAGCCAGAAAGGCCTGTTCTTTGGGGCTTCACCCTCTTGAAGATCCCTTGTGCTAATCCAAAAGCTGCGGGCAGCCTCTCCTCAACTCCCATTTACAAAACAAATCAGTGTTTACACGGTGTGCTAGGAGATTGAGCCTCTCCAGCACTCTTGGTACCTTCCTCGTGGGTCCCAATTCGGTCCTCTTTCTAGTCCTGTCCTCATGTCACGGGGATATTTATTTTGTGTAGACAGCCAAAGTATCTATTCGTTTTCGTCCCTATTTTCGGCTCACATGGCGGACACGAACCGATCTACCCCTCCAGGATAGGCGGTGGCATGGCGGGCATGGTAGGCCCCTCCACTGCTCCCTCCCAGTTGCCCGCCAGGATTGTAGCAAGGCCCTAGCGCTCCGAACTGGCCTGGCGACGTGCGCCCGTAGAAGTCCACAGTGGTCTCGACTCCGCCGCTGCTGCCACTAGCCGGGGACGAAGCGGGTCCCGCCAGGCGTCCAGCTGCAGCGAAGAGCGCACTGCTGGCGGCTTGAGGGTATGCGCCGTCGGGACCCGTGTAGGCAGCAGCGTAGGTGGAGGGGTTGGGTGGCCGCGCCCCTGCGCAGCCGGTGGTCTGGTAGCCGGTGGTAGTGGCGGGAGCGCCTGCAGAGGCAAAAGCACAGGAACCGCCAGGCCCAGACGGCGCGGGACCCAGATCTGGGCTGAGCGGTCGCTCAGGAACCAGGCCGAAGACACGGCAAGGGCTCGGAGACGCGGAGGGGTAGTAGACTGGAGGCGGCGCGGCGAGCGACGGCGGTGCGTAGCTCGCATAGACCGCACCCGGGTAGGGCGTGCGTGCGGCGGGCACCGCTCCCGGGAAGATGGCTGCGGCGGCGGCAGCGGCGGCTGCGGCTGCCGCAGCCGCGGCGTCGTGCATGTAGGCCGGGTAAGTGGAGAGGTCCGAGCGCTTGAAGCGCTTTCGGCGGCGCAGGAAGCTCCCGCTCTCAAACATGTCCTCGGCGTTGGGGTCCAGCGCCCAGTAATTGCCCTTTCCCGGGCGGCCGGCCTCACGCGGGATCTTGAGGAAGCAGTCGTTGAGCGTGAGGTTGTGACGGATGCTGTTTTGCCACTTTTTGGGATTGTCACGGTAGAAAGGGAAGCGTTCGGTGATGAATTTATAGATGCCACCCAGAGTGAGGCGGCGCTCGGGCGCGTGCGCGATGGCCATGGCAATGAGCGCGATGTAGCTGTAGGGCGGCTTCCCGCGTTGCAGGGGGCGTTTACGCCGCCGCCCACCCGCGCCGCGACCCACGGCCTCCGCGGGGACCCCCGGCCCAGCCGGTGCGGCCTCGCCGCGCTCCTCTTTCACGGCAGCCAGTGCCTCCGACTGCGACGGTGGCGGCGGCGGCCCGCTCTCGGCGGTCATGGCTCAGCCGTCCCGCACGTCTCCAGGCGATTGCGCCGCGGGTCGCTGTCGAGGGTCCGAGTGGGGACCGGTCCGAGGTGGGAACTCCGGACGTGGGGTCCCTGAAACTGAAGCTACGGCCCGCGGTGGAGAGCTCTGGAAGACCTCGCAGGCTGGCCCCGAGAGCACAACTGCCCGGGCTGGGGCGCGCTGGAGGCTGGGTGCCTTCGCTCACAAGGATAGCACAGTACCGACAGAGCCTCGCGAATGCCCTGACCACTTACGACTCAGCTCGTGTTCTGGAGTTCAAGGCCAGGAGGCGGCGCGGGGACCGGAACTGGACTCAGGTCACCGGCCCGAAGGGTCCTTTGCAAGCTGGCGCCAGACCGTGAAGGGGTCCGGAAGTGGTTCTGGGGTTTGGGTCCTGCAGCTGGACTGGAACCCCTGCTGGTCCGAAGATAGCCGTCGGGACGTGAACGTAGAGGAGGTTGCAGGTTCGGAGGCCTGAAGCGAGGGCAGTTAGTGCCTGCGCGGGGCTTTCTGGCGCGGGCAGCGCATGCCGCGCCCCTACGGCCCAGGTGGCGGGCCGTACTTACGGCGAGAGGCGAGTCCAGGCAGTAAGGTCGCGGCACTGGCAAGGGTGGGCTGCCCGCAACAGCTCCCCTTCGCGGTGTTGGAATCCAAACTTCAGGCCGGCTGGCGAGGTGCTCCCTTGCTTACACCCCGATCAGCTCCTCCCTCCGCCGGCTTCTCCTTAAAGGCGGCTGCAAGCGTGGGGCGGCGCCGGTTACCTGCCCGCCCCCCGGATTGCCCGCCCCGCGGGCCTCGGGCTCACCTCCTCAGGTAGGCATAGTTGTGGCGGCGCAGCCGGAGCCCCACAAACGTCAGAGCAAGGAGGGCGCTTGGAGATGCCGAGGGCAGGCCCCATCAGAGCACCAACGGGAGACTGAGGTCATGAAAGTCTAGGGATATCTAGGTGCCCGGACTCAGCGCTTTCGGATTTTCCCACCTCGGTGAAGAGCTGAGACTCGCGGGTAAAAGGAAGAGCTCGCCTCACTCTCCTGTCCTGAGAGGGTGAGAATTGACCTGGGGAGGGGGTTGGTTGGTTATTGTGGGCTGGAGGGCAGAACGGGAGAAGTTTCAAGTAACTGCCTCCCAAGGTCTTTCAGTGTGATTTCTGAACCCTGAATGGGCTGTCCTGCCCACTCCGGTCACGTATTTCAGACGGAGATTCCCAGACCCGAAAGGGAAGGTGACTTGCTACCATCCCACCGCGACTTCACTACTTGCGCCTCTGTTAGGACTGCGCTTCCAGCTGCGTGTCAAAGGTAGACCCTTTCCCATTTTTTAGTCCTAGATTCCTCAACTGTACCCAGGATTTGGATCGCAAGAGTTCTTCTGTTACCGATATTTAGGGAAAGACCATCGTCTTTGAGGGGCTTGGGACTTCTCTCTGGGTGATGGAAAGTGGAGGGAGACTAGGCTCCTGCCCTCTTGCGGTAACGGCCTTCTCTAGTCCCCCCGGGGCCAGGGAGGACTCAGGTGCTCTCAAACTAGCAAGCAGTCCCTTCCGCAGCGGGGCTGAGGGTGCGGGGTGCTACTGCGGGTAGGCACGTCTGCCCGGGAAGGGGCGGGCAGAGGGGACCCCTTGCTCAGCGAGTGTCCGATTTCTAAAGAAGTTTCTTGTCGTCCCCCGAAGGTAGGACTCCGTGCTAGCCTGGGACTTAGCACCGCGCGGCCGCGCCGATCCGGATGCACCCTGTGGCCTTTATCGAACTGGTCCCTTCCTCCTCGCAGGACCTCAGGGCATGTGCGGATCTACAGGACGCAGCTTCCCCGTGGGGGCTGTGGGTACGAGGCCGAGCGGAGGAGAGTGCCTCAGGAGCTCCGGAGATCCCAGGTAGAGGTTTCCAGTCTGAAATGGGTGGCAGGCCTTCGGGGTTTTAGTTGCGTTCTTCAGTGAGCGGAGAGCAGGCTCTGCCCCGCCCCCGCCGAGTATTGGGCTGCGGTCTTCGGAAGAAAGAGGCAGAAAGTCCAGATCCTCGCTCCTCTGACCCTAGCTAGTGTGGGAAGTGATCTATACCGTTTTGTTTGACTTCCTTAGCACAGGCGCTGGGAAGAACGAAGAGGGGCGCTTTACACTCGCTAAACAAAACATCCAGCTTCCTTCTTTCGAAGTAAAAGAATCGAAAAGCCAGATTTCGTCCTGTTTCGTTTTTTTTCCAAAAGGGAGAATTCTTGAAAAGCCTTTACTTTAACTGGATTGTACCATAGAAATCTTTTAATACTGATTCTTTGATTCTCTGTATTTCCAAGATTCTGAGATTTAGATTTCCAGAATTTAAATTCTGGACGATTATTCCTTCGTGATTCTGTAAAGTTCTTTGACTATGGTTGTATTCTTGTGACTTTAAACTCCTGGTTAAAGTCTAAAAGCCTATTGATTATATATTAAGATGCTAGAACTATGACTTTTTTGCCTACTGTGAGCTGCCGCTTCTCTAGTTTTAGATAGTTTTTCAGCTCTAAAGTATATGCTATTCATTTTGAATTCTTGTCTAGGAATGTCTAATCAGAAGTTTTAGGTCCTATAAATCCACAACTCTTCTTCCTTGATTTCAAAATGTGAGTGCTGGATCTATGGTTTTGTAGCTCAAATAATCTTATTATAGTAGATTTTCTAATATTCATTTCTGTATACTTTCATGATCAGCCCCATGACTTTATGATTCTCTACTTTTGAGCTCCAGTGATTGGCTGCACGCCTCCATGTCTCAGTATTTTCCAATCTTCAATGTTTCATTTTTCTAGAATTCTGATTTTTTTTTTCTCTCTCTCTCTCTTGAACTTTGTTGCTAACCAGCTACACCTTTGCTGCAGACCAAGACCTAGCCGCCTGAAATGAGAATTCTCCAGATCATGAGTCTATGATTTTCATGAACAAAGGACCCCTAAGATTCCATCCCATAAATGTTTTAGTCAAATATTACACTTTAAATTTTGTACTTTGAAGATCCTCTGACTCCATGATGTAAAATTGAGAATACATGATTTGATAAGTATAAGGATCTTGAGTTTACCCGTTTGGATCAAAATCATAGGTAAAAATTTCCTCTGTGCCAGGGTATTTCCTTCCTTTTTTCTTTACTTTCTTCTTAGTTTCTTGAGTAGGGATGGGGTGGTCATGGTCAAGTCTTCCCCTCTTCATGTTTGTGGGGCCACAAACTATTGAGAAACATTGGTCAATGAGGGAGGGTGAATTCCCACCCCCTGGAAATCATTCTCCCAGTCCAACAGAGGTGGGATTTTGTGGCTGTTGGTGGGCCAGACAGTTTCCATCTGCTTCCCTCCAGTATTCTGCCCCATGTATTCCTGACACCCCCTGGAGAAACCTGAACCAACGCAGGCCATTGTGTGTGTGTGTGTGTGTGTGTGTGTGTGTGTTGAGGGGGTTCTATAGAAGATGCTAGAAGCTCTTCTGTAACAACTACTTTTTTTCTGGTTTAAACTCCCTGAAAGGTTTGTAAATAAAAACGGGGATCCAAAGTGTTGTGGAAAATTCCTCCACCTTCCTTGACCCCAAAGCTCCTTCATAAGGATGCAGAGGTGACCAAACTGGTCTGCTTGTGGAAATTAGAGCTGGAAGGAGACTGGGCCCACCCAGGTTGAGGAAGAGTTACTTAAAGTCATTGGGCAGACAGCAAAACAGGTCTTCTGACCGGCTCTCCTGGCCCCCTGGCATCTCTTGCCCCCCCCCCTTCTCTGAGCCTTGCTTGTGCTTAATTTTTGAACTTGGGCTACTTTCTGATCCAATCACAACAGAAAGTATATTGCAGGATACTTGCAAATATGACCCAAGAATCTTCTTACAGAGGCAACACAATGATCTCTATTAGAGTTATCTTAGGGCACACCAGTCAGGGTGACCAGGCTGTATGAGCTCGGCGTTAGAGCAAAACAAAGTGGCCCATGTCACACTCAACCCAGAAAGACCACTGTGGACTTTAGTCCACAGCACTTCGGAATTCTGAGGGCTTCAGCTCCAGACTCCTGACCCACCCAGAAGTTTGAACCATCTTCAGCGCTTCTTAGGCCTCAGTTTCCCCTTCTGTGAAGTAGGGATCTCTTATCTGTCCCCTCTTTTTCACAGAGTCTGAAGAATGAAGGGGGCGGGATGCATGGCCAACCCGCGATCGTTTTCTTCGTGTTTTATTTTGGGTCGAAACAAAGAAGAGAAGCTGTTAGGGAAAAATTCAAGCCTGTCCAAGATGGGCCGAGATGAGACGCCCCTCGTCGAATAGGTAGCGGGTTAAGTAAAACATTCTGTGTGGCCTAGCTGGGATTTTGAGCCTCAGAGGCCCCGGGCCAGCATGGACTCTTTCCGCTCTCGCTCTCCGAGCGTCGTGGGGACCTCCCCGCGCTTGGTCTGAAAGTAACGTAGCTTGGAGTGCTTGGTCGCCGCTTGTTTACTTAAAACTGCGAAAAGGATCATCTTCAGCCCCAGGACGGACAGTGGAAAAGAGAGAGAAAAAGGAGCCCAGAAAAAAAGGAGCCCCTTGCCTCCCATCTTCGGGTTTGCTTGGACCCGGCCGTCAGCCCCCGGGTTAACCCTGTTGAAGCACCTCGAGTTTCAACCCCCTCCCAACCTCTGCCCCGAATCCTCTGTTCGCGCTGCCCACGCGGGTCCAGAGCGCTCAAGTCCCAAAGCGCAGGAGTCGGGCTGGACGCTTGCTTGGTCGGAGAGCTTGGTCAGATGCCGAGAAGCAGAAAACTGCCCCAGAGCGCACGGACGTGTCAGACCGCGCACTGGGAGTGGTGGCAGGTGCAAGGCGGAGCCCCCGCTGCCCCCAGGTTAGCTCCCCACGCTTTCCCCTGCGTTAGGTGAGCTTTCCGACCACGGAGGAGCACAGGACATCAAACGCATTGACTTACTTTGAGGGAGGGAAGAGTTGGATATGGCCGTGGACCCTGTTGGGACAACCCGGGGCCTGGGGAGGAGGTGGCGCCGAGAGAGAGGAACTCTACCTTTTTCAGCCTTTGCCAGGTGCACACGGATTAGATTCTGGAACCCTCGTCGTAGGATCTGCTCTCAGGGAATGTCTGGCCTCCGGGTTTGTACGGAAGGGCTCTGGGACTCCCGGAAGCCCAAATGTGTACGGAAGATTGTAGATGTGCTTTTTGGGAAGCCCGTCGTCTCAGGTTTGCAATACAACATCTAAAGAGCCAATGATGACTCCTCCGCCTTAAAAAGGGAGTTGCTCTAGACTGGATTCTACTTCAACCATCAGATACAAAGGAAGAGGCTCGCTGGGCAGCTTAGTTTCAGGCTTGCGCTAGGAGAAGCCAAAGGATTGAGGCGTTGGTAGGTGTCCTGAGGACCCCAACCCCGCTGGTTGCCTGACTTGGCGCCCACAGTATGAGGCAGGCGTGGCACTGTGAGGCTCTGCTTTGTGCCTAGCTTTTCAGTCCCTCCACCCCACCCCCGTCTTTGTCTCTGTCGCTCTCCTGGGGAGTGTGTGTCTGTCTCAGACTTACCATTATCAGTTAGCCTTTGTTAGGATTATGCCTACAGGTGTCCTCCCTTTCGGGGTGTCTACCCAGTCACTCCTGAAGGGAGACTGCAGGGGCTGGCCAGTACATTCCAGACAGTTCCCTTTGCCCACATCAGTCTCTTCTCTCCTGGAGGATGGTGCAGAGTGGCAAGGCCAGGAGAGACAGACCTCCACCTAGGAGGACTCTGGGTGTGCTGGAAGTCATGATCCTTGGCCTTGCAGCCCAAGTGCTTGTCCCTCACTCTGCTCCTTGAGCTCTGCATAAGCTGCCAGGGAAGGAGAGGGACCAGGGTTATAGGTGTTATAGGGTACCAGCTTTCTCAACATGTCCAAGGTTTCAGACAACTCTCTCAGGGCACTCTAGCGTCCTGTCTGTGTGCAAACTCAGGTCACTTGGCTGTCCAGAAGCCCTCATCATCCCAGTGGCAAGAGCAAGCACACTTTCTGGGACATGGCATTCAGGGCCTTCCCTACACAATTCCATCCCTTTCCACCTCCTCTCCCCCTTGGTCTTCCTTTTTGCCAGTGTTTGAGAACACCACTCTCAACCAGCTCCCAGAGAACTGCAGACACTCACAATTGAATAATCCCCTAACAGAACATGTGACAAAAGCTAAAATACAACCAAGCTGGGGCAAGCCCTAAGAGGGAGTGTTTGACCCATTATGGTATCAGGGAGGACTCCCGGTAAGAGGAGATATTTGAGCTGAGGAGGGGAAAGTCTGGGCTTTTGCAGGCTCAGGTTGGGAAATGTGGCTTCATGTCGTTTGCCACCCAGATCATCAGCACAGGACACAATGCAGCTCTCCTGTGACAGCCTGTTACTCAGAGTCACCTGGTTTTGGGTTAGTGTCTGTCTCTGCCTCTTTCTAACTGTGCAACCTTGGGCCAGCCATTGTTCTGCTCTGAGCCTTATATTTTCAATCTATAAACTAGGGATGATAGTAATGCCATAAAGGAGTTGTGAAGGCTAATAATATTAACTTGCACACACATAACTCTTATATATACTGTTTTAATCACTTTATTTTTTTATTTGTTCTAATTAGTTATACATGATAGAAGAATGCAATTCAATTCATTATACACAAGTGGAGCACAGCTTTTCATTTCTCTGTACACAATTGTTTTAATCACTTTAGACATTAAATACAATAATGTATCAGGAGACCTGGGCTCGGGAAGATCATTAGCTGGGCATTAGGGATTCATCCAGGAGAACCCACAGAGAACTGGATCTGGAAGCCATGGTGACTGGAAAGATAGGCCATCCAGGCAAAGGAGCAAAAAAGCCCAGAGGCAGAAGTCTCTTGGATAATGGAAGAGCAGGAGGGAAATTCAGATCAGAATAGCACCTTCTGCCCTAGATTCAGCTGTGAAGGACCCTGGGATGTTCCTGGGTCCTAGAGATAAATAGTTGTCTTGGAAGAACATTTTGGAGAACTTGCCTTGCTGGGTAGGAGTGCAGGGTCTTTTAGGGGCAGCTGCTATCCCTGGTATTCTGGAAACTTAGGGACTTGGATCTGTATGCAGCCCTGGCCTCTGCCTGGGCAGATCAGGCCCAACCTTTTGGCAGGAGGGTGGGGAAAGCTTCAGCGCTGGGCTTGATCCCAGCTTTGGTGAGTTCAGACACAGAGTCTTCAGTCCTGAAGCCATGCACATGTTCACTGTGTTTACTGGCCGGTGGGGGAGGACCCCAGGCACTATGGGTCTAGTTAGGGAAAGTGGTCTTGGACATAATCCAGTAGTGAAAAAAGGTGAGAAATTGCCGTTGGGTCCCTTTAGGAGGCCTCAACCTAGATGGATATTGTGTGTGGCTCCCTGCATTCCCTGAGCCCTGGCCAGGCCAAACTGTCCCCAGTGGGACACTGAACAGCTGGAACTTGGCTCTGGGTCAGTGGATTGACATTGTAGGAAAGACTTCAATTTATGCAATGGTTCTGGGGATGGAGAAGAATGACAGGAAGGGGAGGAAAGGTCTCTCTGGAAATGGCCAGGAAGTGGAGTTGACAAAGCTTAGGAGATGCCACCAGTTAGCTACTGTGTAGAGGTCAGTGTCTCAGGCGGCTGAACTGTCCTCTATAAGCCTGTCTTACACAAAGCTGGAGCCTAGTAATTAACTATCGAAGGAGTCACACCATTGCCCTCCGAAAGCCTCAGCAGGCTTCTGTCGCTTCCACTTTTAAAGCTGTCACTATCACAGATTTCCTACTATATTCCTATATCTGGTTTGTGGCTGCACTTCACTGCCTGGCATTTGCTGGCCAGAGACAATTGACATCTGCTTTACCCAGTGAGTAAGCAAGACCCTTCAAGTTCAGGTAAGCAGCTCTAACTCTTTTTTCAGATTCACTTTGTCCACTCACCTCCTAGTACTTCTTCCTTGGCACCAGGGTTTCTCAAATTTGTCATTTATGGTATTGAAACAACCTAACAGATGAACAGAAGTGGAAGATTTCTACCAAGAAGAGAAAAGGGAGTGTCCTTCGTACCACACCCTGGACATGCTTAGTGTTTTATCAATGACTTAGAAGAAGACTCAGAAGGGAAGCTGATTGGCCTGTGACTGACCAGGATGAGATGCTGATGCTGTAGCTGTCAGACCCAAGGCTTGCATTAATCCGTGGGCTGGGAGACTGAGCCAAAACCAACAAGAAGACATTTAAAAAAACTGTTATGAAAACATTGTAACTTTACAGGAGACAAACCAAGAAAAAAAGAGTCCCCCCCATGCCAATTACCTGTCATTCATCTACTAGGTTTTCTGTTCTGTGTTTTTTCTTTTGTGTTCTTATACATATACAGAATTTGTATGTTTACATAGGTGGAACCATAATGTATGCACAATTCTGTGGTCTTTGTACACAGTGCATTTGCATTATTTTGTAAACAGAGCTACATGTTGCTTCTCACTCCCCCCCCCCCCCGCCCGTCTGTAATTGTGAATGAAATTGTCTAGTGTTGATCTAACCCTTTCATGGTATCTGAGCAATTAGGTAATTTCCAGTATCTTTGATATAGGTGATGCTGCCAGGGATATGTTTGTATAAAGAACTTTTAATTTCTTTTGAAGTATTCTTAAGACAAATGTCTAAGAGTAAGATTTATGGGACATAAGCATTTTTATACTTCTTAATATAGTGCTATGAAATTATCTCTAAAAGGAAATTATTTCTTGCAGCTCACCATAGTCAAGATACTTAACATTATCTGTCATATCTAAAAGTTTCCTTACACCCCTTTGTGATAAAATCATTCCCCTTCATTATCTGTAAGCAATCATTGATCTATTCAATGTCACTGTAGATGACTTTGCATTTAATAAAATTTTATATAGTGAAATAGCGGGTGGCCTTTTTTCTCTTACTACTTTCACTTAGCCTAACTCTTTTGACATTCAGCCATGTTGTGATATCAATATGTTTTTTCTTTTTATTGCTAAGTACTATTCCATTCTATGAATATACCACAGTTTATCTTTTAACCTCTTGCTGGATGTTTGGTTTACTTCCCCTTGGAGCTATTATAGACAAAGCAGCTATAGATTTTTGTTTATAAGTCTTTGTGCAGACATATGCTTTCATTTCTCTTGGGTAAATATCTAAGACTGGAATGTCTGGGTCACATGGTAGGTGTTTACTTAAATTTTTAAAAATTTGCCTGATTTCTTCACAAGTTGACTGAATTTCTTTAATTACCACTAGTAATCAGTGAGAGTTCTAGTTGCTCTACCTCTTCACCAACACTCTACACATTCAGTCTTTAATTTTTCCCATTTTAGTATATAGTGGTATCTCATTGTAGCTTTAATTTGCACTTCCCTCATAACAAATAATATGTTATCAATTGCTGTGTAGCAAAATACCCCAACATCACTGACTAAAACAACAAACATTTATTATCTCACAGTTTCTGTGGATTAGGAATCTGGGTGTGGCTTAGCTGGGTGGCAAGTTTAGAGACTTTCATAAGGTTGTAGTCAAGTTGGTTGGCTAGGGCTGCCTAATTTCAAGCCTGGTTAGGCGTTACAGAATCCACTTCCAACTCACTTCTGGTATGGTCATTGGCTGACCTCATTTCTTCATCATGTGGACTTGTCCATAGACTGCCCAGGGATTCTTACAACATGGCGGCTGGTGACCTGAAAAGGAAAGCCTGAGAGAACCCAAGGTGGAAGCCAGTCTTTCAATAGCTCAGTCTCAGAAATTGCATTTCCTAACTTTTATTCACATTGTTTTTGTTGGAAACAATCACTAGGTCCAGTCTTTACTGTGGGAGAAGGGATAACAATATGAATAGCAAGAAAAGGGAATCACTAGGGACCATCTTAGAAGCTGTTTACTATAGTGTTGAGGGTTTTTTTTTTTTTTCATGTTTTCCATCTGTTATGCCTTCTTTAGCCAGATGTCTTTGGGAAAATCTGCCAATTTTTTTTTATATTTATTTTTCAGTTTTTGGTGGACACAACATCTTTATTTTATTTTTTTATGTGGTGCTGAGGATCAAACCCAGTGCCCCGCACATGCCAGGCGAGCACGTTACCACTTGAGCCACATCCCCAGCCCCTCTGCCAAATTTTTGTATTTAATTGGGTTGTCTTCTTCTTGAGTTGTTAGAATTCTTCAATTCTTTTTTTTTTAGAGAGAGAGAGAGAGAGAGAGAGAGAGAGAGAGAGAGAGAGAGAGGAGAGAGAGAGAATTTTTTAATATTTATTTTTCAGTTTTTGGCGGACACAACATCTTTGTTTGTATGTGGTGCTGAGGATCGAACCCGGGCTGCACGCATGCCAGGCGAGCGCGCTACTGCTTGAGCCACATCCCAAGCCCCGAATTCTTCAATACTTCATACCAGTCCTTTGTTAAGTATAAGTTTTGCAAATATTTTCTTCCAGAAAGATGGTGGATTGACTTTTCATTTTTGTAACAAATGACTTTTGAAGAGCAAATGTAAATTTTGATGAAGTCCAACTTATTAAATTTTATTTTAGAGTTGGTGCCTTTTGTGCCTTATTTGAGAAATATTTCCCTAAATCAAAATCACTAAGGCCATTTTTTTTTTGGTAGCAGGTATTGAACCCAGGGGTGCTTAACCACTGAGCCAGATTTGCAGTCCTTTATTTATAGAGAGACAGGGTCTCACTGAGTTGCTTAGGGCCTCCCTAAGTTTCTGAGGCTGGCTTTGTACTCATAATCCTCCTGTCTCAGCCTCCCGAGCTGCTAGGATTGCAGGTGTGCACCACTGCCCTCAGCTCTCATATGAATTTTAAGATCAGTTTGTCAAGTTCTGTTTAAAAAAAAAAAAAAAACGAAAGGTTTTTATAGGAATTGTGCTGGATTTGTTGATCAGTTTGGGCAGTATCACTATCTTAGTAACATTAAGTCTTCTGATCTATAAGTCTGGAATGTCTTTCTGTTACTTAGGTCTTTAATTTATTTCAACTAGGTTTTGTGGGTTTTAGTGGCAAGTTCTACAATTCTTTTGTTAATTTATTTCCAAATGTTCTTTTTGATGTTATTATAAATGGACTTGTTTACTTATTTTTATTTTAATTGTTCATTACTAGCATAAAAAATTTTTGTATATTGATCTTGCATCACATAACTTTTTTTGGGGGGTACTGGGAATTGAACCACTGAGCCACATCCATAGCCCTATTTTGTATTTTATTTAGAGACAGGGTCTCACAGAGTTGCTTAGAGCCTCACTAAATTGCTGAGGCTGGCTTTAAACTCACGATCCTCCTGCCTCAGCCTCCCCAGACACTGGGATTACAGGTATGTGCCACTGTGCCTGGCTGCATCACTTAACTTTAATGAACTCATTTATTGGTTCTAATAGTTCAGTGACATTTTTAGTTTTTTTAGTATTTTCTGTATGTAGGATCATCATGTCATCTGCAAATAGAGATAGTTTTTACTTTTTTTCCCCCCAGTTTGGTTATCTATTATCTGCATTTCTTTCCTACTTGCTCTGGCTATAACCTCCAATACAATATGGAATGCTAGGGAGAAAGATTGCACATTCTTTTCTTGTTCTGATCTCAGGTAAACCATTTGGCCTTCACCATTAAATATGATGTTAGCAGTGAGCGTTTTCCTTACATGTCCTTTTTCCAGTTGAGGAAGTTCCATCCTATTCTTTGTTGAGTGTTTTTATCATGGATTACATCTTGTCAACTGCTTTTTCTGCTTATATTAAATTGATTATACAGTTTTTGTCTTTTATGAATATGGTGTGTTACATCAATTGATTTAAAAAAAAAGAGAGATAGGAGGGGTCTCACTATGTTGTCCAGACTGGCCCTGAACTCCTGGACTCAAGTGATCATCCTGCTTCAGCCTTCTGAGTACCTGGGACTGTAGGCATGTGCCCATGCTGGCTTACATTGATTGATTTTCTTGTACCACCCTTATTTTCCTGGGATAAATTCCACTTGATCATGGTTTATAATCATTTTAAAAGTTGTTAGATTCAGTTTACTAGCATTTTTGTTGAGGATTTTGCATCTATATTTATAAGGGGAATTGGGTTTCCTCGTGATATCTTTGTCTGGTTTGGTATCAGGATAATGCTGGCCTCAGAATAAGTTGTGAAGTGTTCCCTTCCTTTTTATTTTTATTGGAAGGATTTATCAAGTGTTGGTGTTAATTATTCTTTAAATGTTTGGTAGAACTCACCAGTGACTCCATTCTGGGTCTTAGCATTTTTTATGGGAAGTTGTTTGTTAATTTCTTATAATAGGACCGTTCAGTTTTTAATTTCTTCTTGAGTCAGTTTTGATACTCTCAGTCTTTCTTGAAATTTGTCCATTTCATCTAGGTATCTAATTTATTGCTATAAGATTTTTTTTATAATGTTCTTTTGATTTCTATAAGATTGAGTAATGTTTCTCTTTCATTTGTGATTTTAGTCATTGGAATCCTTTTTATTTTTTTCTCTTAGTCTAGCTAAAGGTTTATAATTTTTGTTGATCTTTTAAAAGAACCAACATTTGGTTTCATTTATTCCCTTATTTTTATATTCTTTACTTCATTTATTTCCACTCTAATCTTTATTATTTCCTTCCTTCTGCTTGCTTTGAGTTTAGTTTTTCTTTTTTCTGGTTTCTAATCTTTTTCTTTTTCTTTCTTTGTCTTTCTTTTCCTTTTTGCTTGCCATGCGTGGGATTAAACCCAAGGCTTCACTGAAGCCTGATTGGCAAGTGCTCTACCAGCCCATATTTTATGTTTTGTTTGGAGACAGGGTCTCTCTAAGTCCTTAGGACCTGGCTAAATTGTGGAGGTTGATCTCAAACTTGCATTCCTCCTGCCTCAGTCTCCTAGTTGCTGGGATTACAGGCGTGTGCCACTATGTGTAGCTCCCATCCCCAGCATTTTAAAATTTTATTTTGCTATAGGTCTCACTAACTTTTCCAGGCTGGCTTTAAACTTAGATTCCTCCTGCCTCACTCTCCTGATTTTCCTAATTTTTTAAGTTGTCAATTTGTTATTGATCTAAATGAATGGATGTTTTTCTTTTTCAGTGCTGGGTATCAAACACAGGGCCTTGTGCATGCTAGGCAAAGACTAGTGCTTTATCACTGAATCATACTCCTTTCCAGGTTATTGGTTTGATATATTATTCTTTTTTAAAAAAAATTAATATTTTGTTTTTAGAATAGTTTTAGGCTTATAGATAAATTAAAGAGATAAAATAGAGAATTTATATATTCTCCTTTCCCTCCAAACAGTTCATCCTGTTATTAACATATTACACTGGAGTGATACATTTGTTACAATTACTGAACTAATGTTGGCGCATTATTATTAACTGAAACCTATATTTGAGGTTAGGGTTCATTCTGTGTTGTATAGTTCTGTGTTCTTTTGAGGAATGCATAATATCATTTTAAACATAGGCATTTACTTTTTCCATATTTTTATTAGTACATTGTAAATATACATACAGTGGAATTCATGGTTACATATTAGCACATACACACAATAGAATAATTTAGTTTGTTCAATATTGTTCCTCAGTATTTCCCTTTCCCCACCTTTTTCCCCTCTTCCTGGTTCCTTTGTTCTACTGATCTCCCGTCTATTTTTATGAGATCCCCTGCCCTGCAATCTTTCTTTTCATTTTTCCTCTCTACTTCCACATGTAATGGAATTTATAGCTATTAATTTCCCTCCCAGCACTGCTTTATCTGCATTACATTGACCTGGATGTCTGTGTTAGCACCACATGGTCTTTAGTACTGTAGCTTTATATTAAGCTTTGAAATTAGGAAGTGTAAGTACTTCAGCTTTGTTATTTTTCAGGGTTGTTTTTGGTTCTTGTGGCTCCCTTT